CCTTCTGTTAGTAAACATTTCAGTTTGTCCATGAAATTAGTCCTTCTGTTAGTAAACATTTCAGTTTGTCCATGAAATTAGTCCTTCTGTTAGTAAACATTTCAGTTTATACATGAAATTAGTCTTTCTGTTAATAAACATTTCAGTTTATACATGAAATTAGTCCTTCTGTTAGTAAACATTTCAGTTTATACATGAAATTAGTCTTTCTGTTAATAAACATTTCAGTTTATACATGAAATTAGTCTTTCTGTTAGTAAACATTTCCGTTTATCCATGAGATTAGTCTTTCTGTTAGTAAACATTTCAGTTTATCCATGAGATTAGTCTTTCTGTTAGTAAACATTTCAGTTTGTCCATGAAATTAGTTCTTCTGTTAGTAAACATTTCAGTTTATCCATGAGATTAGTCTTTCTGTTAGTAAACATTTCAGTTTGTCCATGAAATTAGTCCTTCTGTTAGTAAACATTTCAGTTTGCCCCTGAAGAAGAAAGGTCCAACTTCCGAAAACCCTCGGGTTATAAGGTTTTATCATTTTATATTTCTTTTATAGTATAAGCTTCAAAACGGTCAAGATCAAATTCGTTTTGATTTTCACTTCACTTGCGCAAAGAAAAACAGGACATTAGGGTACTTTAAAGAAGATTAACTATGAAAGTGATGCGACAGATTATTGACAAATCACAAAGCACCTTTTTTCCTTATATGCTTTGTCTGAAAGAGACTATGCATATTTCATTAACAAAAATAAAAAGCAACAAAACTTAAAAAAAGAACTGAACAACAGTGTTATTTAACTATATTTACATAGGAAACAAAGTTTCTGACAAATTTCCAAAATAATACGTTGTAAAATTTAAATGATAATAGTAAACTGTAACTTGTTTCACATCTAGTGTTGTTTGTTTGTAGTTAAACGTAAAGCTGTATAATACGCTATCTTTGCTGCACAAATCGCGTGGATCGAACGCAGGATTTCAGCGTTATAAAACCTCCAGCCGAACTCTACAATGAGTGATAATTTTTATGAAGTTCCGGTGAGTGAAATGAAAATGTGGTCTTAGTTGACTTTTAATCCAATGGTATATTGTATTCCACACACGAGGTCAAGGATTGAATATTAATACTGAATTCACGTCTTACCTAATGTTGGGGAAGCCAAGGTCAAGTCGTGGTCGATCATCTGACCCCAAGCAACGAGGATGTTACATAGCTGTTGGTCGTGTTGGCTGACGTCATGGTGCATAATAAAACTAATGGCACGAGCAGTGGGTAACTCAGACCCATCTACAGCTCGCCTTGGGACGGAAATACCTGTAACGGAAATAAACGTGGTTATTTTCAGAACTTTTAATCTATCTATCTATCTGTCACTTTTGATCAGATATACAACATAACTCACCATCACCGTAAGCTGGGGGAAGATATCTCAACATGGCTGATCGCGCACTACCCCACGAGGGGTTCTCGAGGTTGTTACACATGCCAGTCAGTGTCCGATAACGGCTTAGTTCACACTTTACAGGCTTCAATAACGTGGGGCAGACCTGTTTTACTGCTGTTTTAGAAGTATCAATTCGAGGCAAGCCGTTAACAATAGCATCATAATTCAACTTATATCTGTACAGAGAGAAAACAGAGCAACGTTATCAATGGTATCTGAAAATATAATATATATATATTTGTAGAGTTAAATATGTTAGAAAAGTCGATATTAATATTCTAAATTATACAGTATTTGTAAAATCAAATATATTAGACAAATGATAACAGTGTTACAGTAAAACATGATAAATTTTTGTAATCAAATATGCCAGAAAAAAACGTTCATAATGATATCGTAAAATAGACAATCTGTAGCCATATGTTAACAATGGTTATCTGTGTACAAATTTATATTGTTGCTAGATGAAACGAAGGATTATGAATTTAATATTGTAAGTTTGCAAGTAAAAAACAACAATAAAATCATTGTTGTGTCTTCGAAACTCTGGTTAGCTATGGTTTCTTGTGGATGTGTATGGTAACACGTTGCCCCTTGATGAGATAGCAGGATAATCCTCATCTATCCGATGTTATCCAATATACAGCTGGGTGGATTGAAGCAATTGGAGTAAAGTGTCTTGGTCAAAAACATAACATGTCGTGGGCAAGCTTCGGACTCTCAACCTTTCGATCACAAGTCCAAAATTTTGACCATTAGGCCACGCCCGGCCCAAATCTTTAAAAACACAAAGATGCTTTAACTTATGTCATAGTCAACTCCGGGTAATACAGTTCTCTAGACATACTTCCAGAACTGTGTAGCTTTAACTTATGTCATAGTCAACTCCGGGTAATACAATTCTCTAGACATACTTCCAGAACTGTGTAGCTTTAACTTATGTCATAGTCAACTCCGGGTAATACAGTTCTCTAGACATACTTCCAGAACTTTGTAGCTTTAACTTATGTCATTGTCAATTCCGGGTAATACAGTTCTCTAGACATACTTCCAGAACTTTGTAGCTTTAACTTATGTCATTGTCAACTCCGGGTAATACAGTTCTCTAGACATACTTCCAGAACTTTGTAGCTTTAACTTATGTCATTGTCAACTACGGGTAATACAGTTCTCTAGACATACTTCCAGAACTTTGTAGCTTTAACTTATGTCATTGTCAACTCCGGGTAATACAGTTCTCTAGACATACTTCCAGAACTTTGTAGCTTTAACTTATGTCATTGTCAACTACGGGTAATACAGTTCTCTAGACATACTTCCAGAACTTTGTAGCTTTAACTTATGTCATAGTCAACTCCGGGTAATACAGTTCTCTAGACATACTTCCAGAACTTTGTAGCTTTAACTTATGTCATAGTCAACTCCGGGTAATACAGTTCTCTAGACATACTTCCTGAACTCTGTAGCTTTAACTTATGTCATAGTCAACTCCGGGTCATACAGTTCTCTAGACATACTTCCAGAACTTTGTAAATTCGATTATTACCTTCCACAACTAAGGCAAACATTCTATAACTATATTCCAGTACCTTACAATGAAATGAATATCCTTATTTTTCTTGAAAACAGCTGGGTAGTACACTTACTAACAAGATTCCTGAATACGGTGGAAGCGTACAATAACAAACATTGTGTAGAATTAACAAATAAAAAAGAACGTAGATGCGTATTGTAGTAAACTCTTAAAACGTAAAGTTCTACAAAGAGGAGGTTTCGAGTCTCGGTCGTTTCTGAAACCACGAAAAATGCAAATGTAATTATTGTTGTTGAGTAATATAGTAAACCATTAACATCCTCTTAGTATAGCTATTGTTGTTGAACAATATAATAAGCCATTAACATTCTTTACATACAGCTATTGTTGTTGGAGAGCCGAGTAAATCATGGACATCATACTTATAAATATTGTTTTTGGAGAACCTGGACATTATAGCTAATGCAGTAGGAGAACCATTGGAATCATGGACATCATACTTATAACTATCGTTGTTGGGAAACCAAATAAATCATAGACATCATACTTATAACTATTGTTGTTAGGGGAGCCAAGTAAATCATGGACATCATATTTATAAACTATTGTTGTTGGGGAGCCAAGTAAATCATGGACATCATATTTATAACTATTGTTGTTGGGGAGCCAAGTAAATCATGGGCATCATATTTATAACTATTGTTGTTGGGGAGCCAAGTAAATCATGGACATCATATTTATAAACTATTGTTGTTGGGGTAGCCAAGTAAATCATGGACATCTTACTTATGACTATTGTATAAAAAGATTGGTATAAATTTAACTTAGCTACTTCTGAATGAATGGTTATATAGCTATGGTTAGCCATAGATTGGTATAGATTTAACTTAGCTACTTCTGAATGAATGGTTATATAGCTATAATTAGCCATAGATTGGTACAGATGTAACTTAGCTACTTCTGAATGAATGGTTATATAGCTATAGTTAGCCATAGATTGGTACAGATGTAACTTAGCTACTTCTGAATGAATGGTTATATAGCTATAGTCAGCCATAGATTGGTATAGATTTAACTTAGCTACTTCTGAATGAATGGTTATATAGCTGTGGTCAGCCATAGATTGGTATAGATTTAACTTAGCTACTTCTGAATGATTAGTTATATGGCTGTGGTTAGCCATAGAAACTTTGTTTTTTCTTTCCTTGTTTCCTTGTAGTTAAGCGCAACATTACACAATGGGCTATCTGTGCTGTGCCCTCAACGCCCAATTTTTAGCGTTATAAACCCTCACTAGTACCGCTGTTCCTCTGGGAGAGGAGGAAACATTTTTAAACCCTGAAATAACAAACTAGAGAAATTACACGGAACTTTATACCGAAAAACGTTTTTTTTTATTTGTTAATCTTACACAAAAAATTTCCCCACGACCTCAGGGTTAGGAAGTAGGTGTCTTTGATCAACGGGTTTTTAAAACTAATGATAACGTAGGAGAAGGGGTTTGTAACTATCTCAGGGTTAGGAAGTAGGTGTCTTGGATCAACGGATATTTAAAACTAATGATAACTTAGAAGAGGGGGTTTGTAACTACCTCAGGGCTAGGAAGTAGGTGTCTTTGATCAACGGGTATTTAAAACTAATGATAACGTAGGAGAAGGGGTTTGTAACTACCTCAGGGTTAGGAAGCAGGAGTCATTGTTCAACGGGTATTTAAAACTAATGATAACGTAGGAGAAGTGGTTTGTAACTACCTCAGGGTTAGGAAGCAGGG